CTACTTTGACTGAAATAAATGTCTCTAGGTATTTTGAATGAAATAAATGAGAGATCTTTTTTTCTGTGAAAAGAAAGAGGTAGGTATACCCTCACTTTAACGGTTGACGAAATACCTTTATACAACATCTGTTTATCCCAGGTGCACATTTCTAAATTGCCGTCGGGATCACGCTTTCCTGTCCCAAATACAACTGTCAGACCCTTATCAAGTTCTAATTATACATTACCACCGCTTTCATTTGCCCAGTCAGATATTGCGAAGGATTTCTTGAGCGGCTTGGGCTCAGACCTAGACAAAGGTATTGATAGACGCCATATTATGTAATGGTAGACAATCATCAAGGTTTTAGTTCAATAGAATTTTAATTAAATATCATTACATCTCTATTATTGACTAATCGACACACCAGAGTACAAAGCTTTCCTAAAACCCATGATTTTCAATCGCATTTACACATAGAACTGAATACCAGTAAGTAATTGTTTAAAAAAGTATTATAGATATTTTTTGTCCTATATTCTTACCTATTTGCTGAGTTGAGCTTTGAGTTTTAGAATGTAAAGCCAAACTACGAATCACACGAGCATCACAAGCAACATGAAAATCTTACTAATATTATAAATGCGAAAGTTTGGATGTCTGGATGTTTGTTACTCTTTCACGCAAAAACTACTACACGGATTTTGATGAAACTTTACAGTATTATTGTTTATAACCCAGAATAACATTCTAGGCTATAATTTATGACGATCTGTGACAGACTAAATTTCACGTGGGTGAAGGCGCGGGCAAAAGCTAGTTCCGAATTAAAACAAATATTGGGCTGTCTATTACTTAAAGCAGTCTGTGAACACCGAAAATGTTTTTGTGAGGTCACTTTTTTGTCACTTGATTGGTATTACACTGATGCTGGCTGGTACGAATTCATTTGATGCCGCCAACTTATTTCAAGCCGATGTATTATGGCCGCTACATTTTGTGGGCGGCGACGCTATTGCTCGGAAAACGCCTGAATCACGTACCCATCTATCTTTTCTTTCATCTATTAATAGTCGGCTCCTAATGTCTAACTATCTACAAGAAACAATAAAATAAAGAGTGCGAAATGGGTTAGGGACTTTACTACCAACAGACAAATAGAGAAAAAATTACCTTTAAAGTATCTACATAGTTTAAAGAGATTGTCTTCTTTATTAATTACTTACTGTTTACCTATAAAAGAATGCGAGGAAACATTCCAAGAATCAGCCGTAATAAAAATGCACTTAAACTGTCGAAAACAACTTTACAGTCTCTCAACTTTATAACTACACACGTCCCGAACTCAATCCAAACAAATCTGAGCGACCATCTATTGACACATTAAGTAAATACACACCTAATATTACTTTTGCAAATAAGGGAGTTGCCCCCAGGGAAATTCGGGTGCGTTCTGCCACCAGATTGCAGCTATTACTCCCCCACGTTTGCCGTTTGCCACCAGATAGTTATACCGTTCTAAATTATTAGCCACAGGTAGGCTGTGAAATACGACATGGGATTTGGAAAAATAGGGGAGAAAATTGGGATTTAGAACAATGAATCGTCTGGTTGGTTAACGCGGCTATGCTAAAGCGGCGAATGTTCGGCGAACTTTCAGGATTTTTACTAAAATGTATCGTGAACTTTTTTTTGCAAAATACCTAAGTTTCTCAAAACTTGTCTTTATCTTCAGCCTCCAGTCCGCACATAAGATTTTTTTCGAGCAAATTAAAATGATGCCTTCAATTTTTTAAATTAGCCTGAAATGCGAAGGTTCTTCAGGCGTTGGAATTTCACGATGAGACACATCAATGAGTACGAGTATAGTTAAATGAAGTAATTGTTAATTTTACTACATAAGAAATAATCAAAGATCCGTTCATGATCGGCATGCTTGCTAGCAAGCCCGAAGTACATAGGTATTTATTGAATTTCCGCTCATCTCCAACCCTGAATATAACCGGTATAGAACTGAGCATGTTCAACGAACGCGTGCATACCAATTCGAGTACAACGTACATTGAGAGCATTATATTGAGGGAGCGGTTTTCCTCGAAATTGCAGGAACGCTTTAGTATTCCGAATGTTCTGTGAGAATACGCGGTGCGTGCTCTAATGTGGTCGCACCTTAAGCTGCATCGCTCGCCGTTATTAGGTTTGGGTGATGTGGATGTGTATAGCAACAGCCCCTTAAGCTATATAATTTTGTTGCAAAATAGAACGTATGACCACTGCATAAGATATTCCACATGTAGTTAGTATGTGGTATATCGTCTGAAAGAAAGTAAGAAAGAAAAAATATTTATTTAGTATGTATGTAGTCTGTATGTATCTTGTCTTGCGTGCTTCTTTGGATATTGCAGTATACTTTTTTTGTAGGTGTAGGTGTGGTGTAGGTAAAAAACTAATAATGTACCATAAAACAAAGCGCTTTGTTAAGCAAACACATCTATTTTAATATTTTCATCGTGTAGTCAAGTTAAATTATTATTTTAACATCTTGTTGATAGAAAAATATTTGATGAGATATTAAAACTTTCATAAAAAAAACGATAATTAGTCTTAAGGCACGTAGGTATTTTCTGAGAATAAACGTTGTCTATCCAAAACAAATTTTGGGATAGATGAAATGTAAAAACGGCAATAGTTCCCAAATTATCCTCCGGGAGTGGCACCCAATCCTTGGCCATTACTTGGCGAGTAGGAAAAGTGCCCAGAAGGGATAAGTGCAGATAACTCGTAATATTCGACTTCCCCTTTTGATGTTGGCCTAACAAGGTGCCTTTGGTGCCAGAGTAGTGCCACCACACGGCGGGAGTAGTTGGGACTATTCTACACTGGTCATCACAAAAATCGGCCCACCACGTTTTACAGGAAAACTCGTTTCTACTGACACAATCATGGTGCCCCAACAATATTGGTGTTATTTGAAAGCCCAATAAATATCCTTAAAGAAAAACACATTTAATTTCCTAATAAACGATTAACATATACAATAAATGTGACTTGAAAAACTTGAAAAAAGACCTCACTTTATGCTCACCTCTGGGATCAATTAGACCAATTTTTATGGTTATAAAACCAAATAATGATCTCACGTGTCCTCTTTAACAGATGGATAGCGATTAATCCCAACTTAACAGTTTTATAGCCATAAAAGTTGGCTCAAGCGTAACTACCTATTTTTTGAAGAAGTGACTCTGGATTCTTCTACAGACACATTTTTGGGGTAAAAACCTTTCCTTTAATAAAATGAAGTTTAGAACTAGGCTTTTAAATGGTAATACAGTTATAGTAATATTGGTGGGAAGTGGGTATGCATACGTTTGAAAGTGCTTGTCGCGGGTGGGTCGATTTTTATGATGACCAGTGTAGTTTTGGGCCAAAGTTATTGCTCATGTACCAAGAGTGTCCATCTGGAGAAGAATCCAGGTTTTTTCTACCAGTGGCCGGTGCTGGTCGCGAGCTTACGCTCATTGCCCGAGCTTCTTCTCGATCAGCTAGAGCTGGTACGTCAGAAGACGGAGTACGTTCCAGTGATTGTCACTCTTCGTACAAAGAAACTGCAACTACAGCGGTGAGGTGACAAAGACATTTTAAGATGCCGGTCGGAGTTATTTCTCACTCTGTCCATCAGAGAGCTTGTTTTCTTACGAGTGATGGTCGAAACCATCAACTTGGTCCTCTCCGAACATCCCTGAGGCACTGTAGAAGCGCGGTAGACGCTATCCTAAAGACATTGTTGTACTGGGTTCATAAGGATCTTCGTCGAGATGTCTCTAGTGCCGTAATGTTGTCATAATGTTATTATTTACTCATGAAGATGTAGGAACGTTTAATTTGCTATAGTGGAGCTAGGGTTGAATTTTCCAGACAACGTTAAATAAATTCAGGACATCAAAAGTGGGCAAAAAGTTGAGAATATAATTATTTCAATTGTAAAACGTGTTCCAAACTTTTTGACTACTTATGGGTGTAATGACTATTTGACGCTGACTGTCCCTTGCAAGAAAATAAATACTGGTCACACTATACATGACTGAGTGGAGCCATCGAGAAATAACGATCAGTGAAAGCCTGGTTGTTATCGTAATAAGAGTTTTGATTTGTTTATGCATAGTGGCACAAACAACTTTTGCTCTTCATGAATATTATGGGTGGGCTTAGCGTGAGAGTCCTAAAATAAAAAATTATACACTTACGTTTAGCTTCAGGAGATTAATTTTGTCCAGTCTTTTTATTCTATTGTTTTTTATCTTTACTTCGGGTATTTTATTTTGTCTTTAATTTTATACGTGGGGTCTTAGGAAGGTTATAAACACTAAATACCAGTACGTAATGTTTATACGTACACTTTTATAAACCAAAGAAAATCATGATTTAGTTGATGCCTACCTACATGAAGGACGACATGAATACACTTTTACTGTTAGGGTCACTAGGGGAGTGCATGGGGATGTGTTAGGGTCACTAGGGGAGTGCATGGAGATATGTTAGGGTCACTAGGGGAGTGCATGGAGATATGTTAGGGTCACTAGGGGAATGCTTGGAGATATGTTAGGGAGCGTGATGCATGGAGATATATTATCATCATCATTTTCAGGAGTTTTTTTTTATGCAAGGCAAGGCAGGCGATTGTGGTCAAATGACCGCAATCGCACCTGGTGTTAAGTGAGATGCAGTCTAGAGTATGCGTAAAGCATTTCCCGGCGTAAAAAAAGAGTTGCATGGAGATATAAATTACATAGCCTATTGGGTACCACACAAACTGCGAAAGATACACACAGGTTGAAGTGGCATCAGAAACTTCATGCTGCAACTTCTCTAAAATACGGAACCCTAAAAAAGGAATAATCTTTCATCCCTGAAAATGTATTTTTTAATTGTTCATTTCCAATCTAAGTCGTCAATCGAGACCCCCTGATGACGTCATAGTCTCACATGAACTATTAACCCGTTCGTTCTTCACAGGAGTGCCGGCGACGGAGAACTTGAACGAGATGCAGTGCATGTGGTTCCAGACAGAGGCGGCGGCGGCGTACCAGCGCACGCAGCAGTGGGGCGAAGCCCTGAAGAAGGCGCACGAGGTGGACCGGGTGAGTTCTGCTCCAACCCACTCTAAGCTACAAATTAATCCATCTTATTAGCACACCATTGTGGCGCAACCGCTCGTGCCACCAAAAAAAGGAGGATACCTAGTAGTTTGGTTGCTAAATAAATTTGTTACAGGTAACCAACAAAAGACAATGCCGGAAATTGGCGTCTTTTTTTTTTTCGCGCGGCCATCGACCAAACCATGTTTTTTGGATATAAAATAGTGTAATAAACCAAACTTACAGTTGGTTACTGTTGCAATTTCTTACAAAACTTGCGCGCTAAAAGCAAATCTAGTATGTAAATCATCAAACTTCTAACGCTCGTAACTCAGTTCAGACTGAGCTTAGAGGTATACATGTCATAGTAAGTTTAGTTTATTACACCATTTTGTAATCAAAAAACAAAGTTAGGTCGATGGCCGCGCGAAAAAAAAAAGACGCCACCTTCCATACAAAATCTGGCATTGCCATTTGGTAGCACTACGGTGGTGGGATAGGGGAGAAGATCATACCTAGTTCTCATATTGAAACTCCTTATATTACTCTTCGTTACTTCTCTTTTCTCATAGTGTGTGCAATTTGAGCATGTTTTTAAAAGTTGATTATTATTCCATATAATCTGCCCGTAATGTCACATTACATGCGCCTATACTACTCATATGGGACGCTGCGTGTTGTTAACATGTCAAGCGACATCTTAAGATATGAAATATTAATATCGCATGTACATATTTTTGTAAAGGAAATACACTGACGGTCTTATTCNATAATCACTGTTAAATGTTATTAATTTATCACTTTCACCGCGACTGTCGGTAATTATTCATAATAACCGGTTATTATTAATAATTTTCAATTTATCACATTAACCGTAACATAGCCATAAAAGTCGGCTCAAGCGTAACTACCTATTTTTTGAAGAAGTGACCCTGGATTCTTCTACAGACACATTTTTGGGGTAAAACCCTTTCCTTTAATGAAATGAAGTTTAGAACTAGGTTTTTAAATGGTGCTAATATTGGTGGGAAGTGGGGATGCATACGTTTGAAAGTGCTTATCGCGGGAGGGTCGATCTTTGTGATGACCAGTGTTATAGTTGCATCATGTCATCAGACCATCAGTGAAAAAAAAATCGCCTATTTTTTTGGCAATATTTCGACATTAACAGATATTTACTATATATCTATTTATTCGTCATTAGAGTGAATAGCCCAGAAAAATAAATTAGTTTTGAAAGGCCTTAATATGGCTTTTTTGTAACTTTTTGGACTTTAAATAAAAGCCGTCATTATTGTAAGCCATTTTATTGATATTTACCTCGAAGATTAATGTATTTCATTTTATTAATAGGAAATTGTAGTTTTTTTTAATATCCGGTATCCGGCCGGATAGTGAGTTACTATCCGGTATCCGGCCGGATAGTAAATTAGGGCCGGATATCCGGCCTACCGGATAGTTGCCGGATATCCGTTTCATCTCTAATGGAGACTAGTCCTTGTTTATCTAGCCAGGCGGACTTAGTAGCTACAGACAGGGCCTGTAGTACAGGCCCTACTAATCAAACCGAGCAGGCCATTATAAAATGGCCCACTGGGAATCGAACTCGGGATCGCCGAGTCTCTTTCCACCTCAGATTAAGGATCACGTGGCTTTCCACAGTAAAAATAGTTCTATGAGGTTCCATCCTATCAACTTTTTTTATCGCTAAGAATCAAGATTGTAAGCACTTATTTAATATTTGTAACAACAGCCTAGGCAAGTGGGAAAACTTTAGTTATAATTTCCTAAAGGCATTTTTGTACGACACGGAGCGATTAAAAAAAGATGCCGGGCGGCACGGCCAGCCAGCCAACCCTAAATATTGTGTGGATAAAGGGCCATTAGAGGGGCAGATCGTAACCCTGAGATGGAAGTTATTAATTTAAATAAAACAAGAATAATTATTACACAATATATTTCCTGTTCATACATCTAAGTACGTTTACAATCGATTCTGCTTTGTTGTAACAAATCCATAAATTACAAATAATGCAAATGAAACAACATGTCCATCTTGTTTACCAAAATAAGTAACGTTTTTTACTAAATAAATATTTACACAAAACTAACATTATTGATAGTTTGTCATTATGATATAGGTAATAATAATTAGGTGTGTATTATACAGTTACACAGTTTAAATCAGTACTTTTAAAAGCATAAAAAAAACATTGGTACCAAAATTTACTAATAAAGAAATCCTTTAAACATGTTTATAATTATGAAGGCATGATCTTGATGTTTATTAATTTGACTTATATAACATTATGCATAATCTACTTAACATTACTTATGAAACCAATATACCACTTAAACTAAATTAAAAAAAATACAAGATCATTTTGCCTTACCTAATTCAAAGCACAATATCCATAGTAACAATTAAATTATATTTTATCAAGTACCTGCTTAAGACGTAACATTATTTTATTTTTCACTTTGTAATGCTTTGTTGATTTGGTCTATCAACCTGATTATTCTTTTGTCTCTTCCTCTTCATCATCCCAATCACTGACTAAACTCTTAATTTTGTCATCTTTTTTTGAGTTGTCTTTAGCATCTGATTCCAGAGAGGTAATTTGCTCAGTGTGTGTATCTTTTGTATCAGTCCCGTTGGTGTCAATGAGGTCGCTTTCAACACTTTCCGTTGGTTTCTCATCATTGTTTACAATTGCTTCCTCTTGAGAGTCCTCCCAGTCATTTAAAAGTGACGATATTTTCTCTTGAGTAGCTTCTACATTTGCAGTCTCCAAAACCATTTCTGGTTCTTTTGTTTCAGTAGCAATAAATTCTTCTGTTGTAACCACTTTCTTGTCAGTGATTTGCTTTTGAACTTCTTTGTTAATATTTTCAATTGACTCCTCTAGCTCCGATTCTTCTGTGCCAGTTTCAGCAACAGAATTAGGGACATTATCATATTCATCTTCAGACCACTCAGATGTTAGGTTTTGGATTTGTTTTTTGGCTTCTACTGGTGCAATAATGCTTTTCACAGGCATTTCTTCTGCAACAGTATTTTCTTCTGAAGTGGGCACATCTTCCACAATATTTAGTGTATGTTCAATGCTGTCAGTGTTTTCAGTTTCTGGCACACTGTTGCATTCTTCAATTATTTCCTCACAGCTTTGTTCTTCTGTTGACATAGGAAGAGGATTCTGTTGTTCTTGAACAATATCGACATTTTCATAAGTATCATTGGGACATGTTATTTCATGTTCATTTCCCATTTCTGCTTCTTCAGTGATTGTGTGAACTTTATCTGACACAGATTCTATTTGAGTCATTTCAGAGGGATGAATATCCATTGCCGCAGTATTATCCAATTGATTTTCTTCAATTACTGATATAGGTTCTGGAATATCAGCAGGTACTGTTTCTAAATGTATGCTGTTTGGTTGTTCAACACTGTCCTGAATTTGTTCTGATACACCAACCATTTTATTAAGTTCTACTTCAGGCAGATCCGTTATACCAGTTTCGATATCTACTTGTGTCATATTGGTGGATACAGTTTCGTTAATATTCTGTAGTTCATTTTCTGATGCTACTTGTAAATGAGCCTGGTTTTCAACACTTTGGTGACTACTCTGTGGCCACGTTTCATCCATTTGAGTATCAATCACAGTAGTAGATACGACAGGAGTAGTTGTAGTTATTGTTTCAAAGTTTTGTGCCATAACGGCGGAAGACTGGACATACTGCGCACCTAATTCTTGTGACGTTATGATTTGGTATTGTTTATTGGGGTCATCATGTTCCATTGCGTGACTATAAACAACAACATATTTCGAATTATCAGCAGCAACTGCTTCGGACACATTCAAGGGATACTCATCTTGAATAATCATCATGTCATTAGATTGATTGTTGTCCAAATCTATGGTGGTAGCATTCAATGTAGGATTCTGAGCTGCAGTTAAAACAGTTAATGTTTTGTTTGGATCACCATCGTCGAATATAATGGAATGATTAGAAGCCATTAACGCCTTATACTCTTCCTCATTTGAAACTACAATTTGTATGGGTTGTGATATATTTGCAGATTTTTTAAGAACCATTTTAGATTGCTGAATAATCTCAGCCGGGTGGAGGTCTGTAAACTGCATGGATGTTGTTGGATTAACAGTATTCAAGTTTTCTATGTTCTGTTCAGGTTCCGTTTCTATGTAATCTGATAAAATGTACTCATTGGGCTTCATTGTTGACTTTCTGGCTATAATTTGGTTATCCTTCATTATGTACTCATTTTCATTTAAAACCATCACATTATCTGCAGGATTGGCAGGAGTTTCATCATCTTGAATGTATTCATTATTGTCATCAGACATATCATGAACTTTCTGACTTTGACTAGCCACAGGAGTGCTAAAGCCAGGATTGAGAATTTTTTGATTAGAAACAGAAATTTTAGCTTTTTTACCCTCATTTCTTTTTTGAACTTGATACCGCATTTCAGGATCTTCAAAATCTGTTTCAATTGGCAGTTCATATTTTATGGTAGTTCTGATTTCACTTGGTTTCTCATCTATGTTATCATCATCAGAATCTTCTATTATTCCATCTTTTAATGCCTGTTCTTTATGAGCAGTTTTTATGTGTGCAAAGTAGTTACTGTCCCTCATGAACACCTTCATGCAATAGTTGCATTGCGTATTCATCTTTTTATCTTGTTTGTGACCCGTTTTTTGTATATGCCAAATCAAGAGATTGGTTGAACTAAATGTCGCAAAGCATAGAGAGCAGCGTATTGGCTTGCGCTCATCAGTGTGCGTCAGTTTATGCTTTACTAGAAAACCTTCAGTGAGTGCAATATAGTCACACATATTGCACTTGGGGAAGTGATAGTGCGGAGGTGGAGGGACGCCATGTTTGGTGTATATGTGGTGAAGCAAATAATTACGCTTGTGGGACTTAAGTCCACAATACTCACAAATAGTGGACACCGCTTTTTCTTGATGAACTTCAACTAAATGTCTTCTGAAGTTATAATATGAGGTGAAGTTTAATGCCCTGCCAGGTGTGCCACATATGAGACAAATCCATGGGCCTTTGATATTCTCAGCCCCCATAGCTATTAATTTTGCAGCTTCTTTAGAATCAAGTACATCTGTTTCATATGTATAACAAACTTCTTGCTTGAGTTTCACATCTTTTTCTTCTGGTGGATTGGGTATTGGACGTGGCTTTTTAGTCTTGGTAGGTGTATTAAGAATCTTTAATTTAATGTTTTTGTTGCTTTTTACCAAATGTGGATATTTCTTGAGGACTTCACTAATAATTTTGGCATGATCTAAATTACCAGCTAATTTATCTTTAGATTCTATGGTGACTTTTGTGCCTTCATTGTTGTCTAAGATTTGATCAAACAGTTGATTTGTATCTTTTGGAGGATCATCCTTCACACTCAAAAAAGCAGAGCTGTATACATCATCATAGGAGATAGATTGATTGACACTGTCATCAAAAATGTTATCGTTTTTGGAAATTTTCTTGCATTCAACAATATCAACGGTTGAGCCAGCGTAGGCCCGTTTGGAGCTAGTTGGTTCGTTAAACAAGTTACTTTTCTTAGCAGAATATTGTTTTGTTGTTTCTGGATGAACCATGAGAGGTTGGGAAGTATATGAAATGTTAGAGAATGAATTATCAAAAACATTGTCAGTGTCTAGTTCTTCTGGCAATTCATATCTGGTAGGACGAGGATCACCCAACACCAATTTTTTATTATAAAGTGATGAATCCAATGGTAATGGCGATGGAGCACGATGATCTTTTCTCTGAGCTGTTTTGTTTATTGGTTGATGGTATTTCTTTTCTCTGTATACAACGCTATTGTCATTATTAGTAATAACTTTTCTAGGTGTTGACTTATTTACTTGTAATTTATCAACTTCCATGGCTTTAGTAACAGATTTGCTACTTTCAAATGCTTTTGTATAAGATCTCTTTGCTGATGATGAAGAAAATGATGGGGAATGTATTTGTTTTGTAATTTCACTGGATTTAGAATGTTTGGACTTGAATGACATTCCTTTGCCTCGGTGGGCTTCCAAAAGTTTGCTTAGAACGGGCATATTCATAACCAATGATGTTTGATATAGCTTATCCAATGCTTCCATCCTGAATTCCAACTGACCTGTGTACATGAAGTTGACAATGGGAACCACGACGTCCGCTTGCAAGTCGTCCGGCATCACCAAACAATCTTCGTACATCTCGCATGTTCGCTCCAATATCTCGAAGTACTCGGTACAAGCGTTGAGGACCAATCGGTGCACCTTCAGCTGGGCATTATCTTGGAACTGCAGCGTCAGATCACAGTAATCGGTGCGGTTGAAAAAGTGCTTCAATCTCTGGAGGAAATATATCCCCCAGTTGTCCACTTTCACTTGCTTCACGTCCGACATTGTGAATGCAATTTAGATCATAATTTGCACATATCTTCGTAACTGAACGGCACTACCTGAAAAAACACATAATATTTAATTTACTTATCATTTTTACTACGAAAAACAGTTAGAAAATGTAAACGATCGATGAGTGACACTCGACATTTTTGGTTAGTAGAGATTGTAGATTCACAACGCGTTTGCAAAAACACTTTTTTCGGATATTACAACTATAAAATGAATATCTTGAATTTTCCGCCATCGTAGGTACGTGTTTATTTTCAGGAACTTACCAATAAAAGTACCTACTAACACTGATATTTTATTTTAGTTGCTCTCAACGAGACACAAATTGCATCAAATTCCAATGAAACCTGTAGTTGACACTAGTCGCAAGATGGCGGTGTTGCGGTGGTTCATTGGCGTGCTCCATTTTGGAACGTTGGAACTTGGAACGACGCTTTGGCTTGCTTTGAGGTCGATGGCTTTTGTATTTGACGAGTCAATACCATGACTTTTAATTCCAAATTAATTAATGGAGGCTTTAAAATTTTGTTAAATATGTATAGGCAAATCTTGATAAATTTTATAAGTTTTGACATATAAATAGATTTCTTTACAGTAGTGAAATAGATTCTTAACACTACTATTTCGCCTAGTGATGGTGCTGACATCTACCTCAAATGGGATAGAAGTTAGTATTGATTGGGTGCGTTCTCTTGGTTCTTGTAAATGTGTAGGACAAGCAAAGGTGACTCATCACGTCATGCAAACGGTAATAGTACCGTTCTATTAATACAAAATAGCTATTAAAAGACAGTAGATGGCACTGTTTGCACTTAAAAGTTGAAAACTTTTACGGTCTTATTCATAATCATTTTTCACATTTTATCAAATGCTTATTAGAGGTTTATAAAACGTTTGATAAAAATTGTTATTCATAATCGTCATTTAGCGCTAAAATCCTCTTTTATCTGTGTGATAAGTTATCGAGAGCTCGGGCCTTGTTTAAAGCTCTAATAAACCTATTTTAACCTAACTTTTATAAATGTCATTTCATATGAATGTCACTTCGTTGGTTTATTTATTCAAAATATCCTTGCTGTGATCCTTGCTTGTGAAAATGAATGCTATAAATGCAATTGTGCATTTAGCCAATAATGCCGACCCAGCGCGACGTAGAAAGCTCTACCGCCAACGAAGCAACCCATTCGATTTGCGGGACCTAAATTTTAAAATAAAATATAGGTTCAATAAGGACACAGTGCGCACCATCATAGATTTGGTGGAAGATGATCTGGTTCAGAGCGCTAGAGGTGGTGGCACGTGTCCTGAACTGCAAGTTTTAGTGGCCATAAGATGTTGGGGACGTCGTGAGGTAAGCACAAAAAAGTGTTTTATTTTATCCCTTTGTCGTGGCTGCTATAATTATTTTCATACATTTTCAGGTACAAGATGATGCTGGTGACCTCCATGGCCTAAGTCAGCCGACAGTGAGCCGGATATGCGCCAGAGTCGCGCATGCAATCGCGAATAAGGCAAATTCCTTCATCAAAATGCCTATCACTATGTAAATACGTTTATTCAAGTCGTTATCTTTAAGTTTAAAAATTTATTTAAAAGTTTTTTTGTTTGTTTGTAAATGTATGTTTATTATCGTAATTTTTCAATTAATTTGGCCTTGTGTTCTTTGGAAAACAAGTGATTCAATTGGAGCTCCAGATATTTATGGTTATTAATCCTTAAAGTACACGCGACTTTATGACTTTTGTTCCTTTAGTAAATTACTAAGTTATAATTATCCTACTAATATTATAAATGCGAAAGTTTGTGTGGATGTCTGGATGTTTGTTACTCTTTCACGCAAAAACTACTGAACGGATTTTGTTGAAACTACAGTATTATTGATTATAACCCAGACACATTATAACATTAATAAAAACCCGTGTTTTTATTAAATTTCAACCGATTTCAACAGTTTTAATTAATAGACTCGAGACCCGAGAAAACTCGAGACTTTGGCCTCGAGAATTCCCGAAACTCGAGAAAAAAAATAAGTCGAGAAATCAGAAACCCTACAAATTCATAATATTTTTCAGAACAACATATGGAGCAGGTCCCTGTAACTCCGCAACTTTCGACGGAGAACAGTGTTCACGACAACCGACCTTCATTGTTGAGGCGTAGGTCGCAGTTGATACTACAAAAGAAGAACGGTCATCTGTGACCCAGGCCCGACAGAAACGAGACATACCTCAGTTTTTTTGTCATGTCTTAATTAGTTAAATTATATATTTTTTATATTCGAAATCTATGTATAACACCAAAATATTGCCCTTTGTTTTTGTTTAGGCGTTATACAAAAACTAATACAAAATGCCTATTTATCACCAAAATTGGTAAATGTGTGTACCTAAATGTCTATTACAGCTGCTATGGAATGTATCTAGGGACCTGGAGATACAGCCGGATTATACAGGGTGGAAAAAATAATAAGTTACAAAATCCAAAAATTCAATGTTACCAGCTTACATTAATCTGTACCCTATCAATGGTACCATTTGAAAGAGCTCGTGAAGCACTTTCAGAATCAGTAACTAGTTTTTCGATATCTTGTATAGTTTAGAAATAATCGAGTGAGATCACTTATCGTTCCATATGTGTGACCACCCTGTATAATCCGGTTGTATCTCCAGGTCACCTAAATACATTCCATAGCAGCTGTAATTGACATTTAGGTACATACATTTACCAATTTAGGTGGTATATAAGCATTTTGTATTAGTTTTTGTATAACGCCTAAACAAAAACAAAGGGTACCTAATATTTTGGTGTTATACATAGATTTCGAATATAAAAAATATATAATTTAACTAATTAAGACATGACAAAAAAACTGAGGTATGTCTCGTTTCTGTCGGGTCTGGGTTTTTTTTGTATGGGGCGTGACCGTTCTTCTTTTATAAATCAACATTTTTGAATGGTACTAAAATACATTTTGATAAATTCCAACGATTTACTTTTATGTAATGTCATTTGAGTTCATGAAAATGTTGTATTTTAATTTTTCAGATACTGTTCCTGGCATCTTAATGAAAATAAAAAGAATATTTGATTGAAAAATACCTGTATTTCAATTTTCAGTCCAATTTGTTACTATCACAAAAACAAAACCTGTAGTTCTCTTTAAAAAAGCAATTATTCTGCAAAAATTCAAAACAAATTACTTTATATCACTAATTTAAGTACAATTAGTTTCAACAAACTTACTTATTAAAAATCACAGTTCAATTCTTTAAAACAAAGAAATTGCTTAAGTATAAACGTTTCTATTCGGAGGTTATCAACCTTCTACATTTAAAACAAAATAACCATAATTTACACTATTATTATAAAGGCGAATGTTTGTGACTAGGCATATGTGTATTTACTTTATATCACTAATTTAAGTACAATTATTAAACTTACTTACTAAAAATCACAGTTCAATTCTTATAAACAAATAAATTGCTAAAACAGATAGATTATATAGTCTCGAATAACATATAGGCTTCTTTTTATCCTGGAAAAATGCACAGATCCTGTAGGTTACAGAAATAGTAGTCTACGCAGGCGGAGTCGTGGGCAACAGCTAGTTAATAGTAATCTCAAACTCTTATTAAGTTATGACTAGTAAACATATTCATAGCCGTCTAAATATATTGCAGAAACACAATCAAAATGCGGATTGGAACTGCATAAAATACAACTCCATTGCGATTTTAACTGGGTAATGGAGCGGTTCATACCAGCGCACATTGAATTAAACCTGAAAAAGAAATGACAGGATTTTGAATTACAGGTAAAGGCAAAATTTTATATTGAAGGCAGAAATCAAAAGATGTACCAACGTTGTTTGTAAATCAGCCCAAGCCGCAACCTTCCGTTTATTCGTGTTAGTGTCTGTATTTTTATTTTCGATTGCATTTACTCTTTCTTTCACCAACTCTTTCAGCAAATACTGAAAAGCAAACACTAGGCGTCAAACATAAATAAAACCATGCTACAAAAATTAGTAGGCACTTTATCAGGCTAAAAATAAGTACTACCTTATCTTCCTCCAACCAGTTTTCTGATCGTTGCCTTTTAGGCGGTCTGTTCTCCTTCGTCATGGACATAATTAGTATCCGATGTAACTAGCCGGGTCGTCGTAAGAGCTTATTGCAGAGTACAGGGTAAGAGGTACAGAATCCAGAACATACAATCCCAAGTTTTATAAAAGTTTGATAAAACTTGGGAGTTGATCGAAAAAACCGAAAACTTTATTAAATTTTCGTGCCAAATGTCAATGTCAGTAAGTAAAACGTCACAGCTGCCAATTTTTTGTTTTTTTTTCTGCGATTTGTCTATGATTTTACATGGTCCATCAAGTTAAATCACCAAAAAAGCTGTTTTCGTTCATTCTTTTTGTATAGTCTGTGGAAAGAAAATATTAAACTCTGTTTTAGCTATCAAAGGTTTATAAACGATTATGAATAACGTTTTTTATCAGAGGTTTATAAGAGTGTTTTAAGCCTATCAAACGTTTTAGCTAATGTAGGTTTTAAACCTATATTAGCATTTTATTATGAATAAGACCGTGAGTGATTTGATAAAAACAATCATTTTTAAAAGTAACTGCTGAAATATCAGTTATCTTACACAATAGTGTCACAATTTGACTACAATATCGGCTCATTTTCATGTTCATAATAACTTAATAACCATTGCTTCTTGCAGCATTTCTCCGAGATAATGGAGGACCAGTTCGACTTCCACTCGTACTGTATGCGGAAAATGACGCTGCGCTCGTACGTGGGTCTCCTCCGGCTAGAAGACGTGCTGCGGTCACATCCCTTCTACTTCAGGTAAGAACCGCATCTAAATCGGTCCATTCGCTTGACAGCTATGTCACAGATAAACGCACATAATGGCATGTCTAAAGGCGGAAGTCTGCAGTACAGCTTATGACCGCAGTTTGTGGAGGAACAATATTTATGTGGTCGCGATCCTCATCAGTGAGGGACCGAGGAAGAAGAAGGCATGTCTAACTTATAACCCCTCTTTTTGGGTCGTGGGTTGAAATCAAGTGTTTCAATAGATAAATCTATCATTTGTCTGATTGTCAGGTTGTTATACACAAAAGTAGCAACATGCTAATAACGAAATAAAACATATAAAAAAATGTGACAGTCTCTGACCAAATTAAGGCGCGCGGACGCACAGGGTGACATACTAACCAATCACAGAGCTCTATTCAACGCTGTACGTTCGATTTGCTGCTTCAATTAAGCAAGCTTTGTGAATACTGGCGTAAGTTCCTCTCACTTTCCTATGGTGCCAACTGTTGAGCACAATAAACTATAGCACTCATTGTAAGTAGGGGTGTTATGGATATGTAGTTTCGGTTATGGATACGGTTACGGATATAGGAATAATATTATACCGGTTACGGTTACGGATATTTTTTTTATTTCGGATATCCGAAAGTTTCGGTTACGGTTACGGATATCCATAACATCCCTGATTGTAAGGAACGCGATATATTGTTGTCTCTTTCCCGGCAGGTGCGCACGAGTGGCCATTCAAGTGTACTTGCGGCTCTACGCGCAGCCGCTACAGGACGCGCCGCAGACCACAGAGCCGGATACAGGTCAGTGGAACTTTAGCACTTAAATGTCTTTGCGATAGAGCCTGTATTGCAACAAAAATGTACAGTCTGATGACAATGTGCTGTTGACTGTGACATTATAAAAAAAAAAAAAATCTTTGGACACTTTTCACACAGCGCCAGCTAGCCCCAAAGTAAGCAACTTAATGCTTGTGTTATGGGTGCTAGCTTAACGGATATACTACTTATATACTTTTTTTTTTAAATACACACACCGGCAGATTTAGAGGAACGGAAAAAAAAGCATCAATATCATCATTATTTTAGGAAAAAAATGCCTAATTATGATATTATTTTTTAATTTAATACTAAATATGAAAAAACTAATTGCCAACAGTATATTTTTTTAATTATTTTGTTTAAATTACCCCATCAACAGTTTCGTTGAGTGTTTTGAATTGAATGAAGCTTTTGCTAATTTGGATTTCTTTTACGTGAAAGATGTTTTTTTTCTGAGAATTTTGTTGTGTAAGCATTCAGTTACTTATAAGGGTTTATTATGCCCAGCTTAGCACCGTCAGAAATCATTAAGGCAGATGATATGAGAAGTAACGGCCATGCATACAAATCGGCTGCCGTAAGACGTCGTTGATCAGTATCGACCACCCATGGCAGTAACCAACGGTACAGATTGATCATTTCTGTCGTTAGGAGGAGGGTTCAAGTCAGAAAAAGGCGTACTTCGCGACGGGATGACCGTTTTTTACAACTTCGAGTTTTCAGAAAGTCGCGGTTACCTGCTGTTCAAGCCAGAAATAACCTTAAAGACACTCGAGGAGTAAGAGTGACTGAGCCCACAGTTCACAGGAGATTTACTGAAGTTGGTATAGGGTCGTGCATACCCGAGAAAGCTCCAACTTGTGACACAGCACCGAAAAAACATATTGAACTTTTCACGTGAATATCGTGATTGGGTCTTGAACGACTGGAGGCATGATCTCTTCACTTATGAGTGCAGAGTTCTCTTAAACCAGATCGATGGAAGATAGCGAATATGGAGACACAAAGAGAACGTAACATTTAGTCTTCATTTTGAAAATATCGTGGTTTATGGAGGTAGCTTAATTCTGGTGTGGGGAAGGATTTGTTTGGGAGCTCGCACGGAGTTAGTGGTGGGTGATGGAGGAAATACGACTTCTGAATGGTACACTAGGAACATTTTAGAAGAACATGATGTGCCATTTACTCCATTTATTGTGGACTCCTTTAGTTTAATTCACGATAATGTTCGTTTTCACAGTGCTCGCTCAGTACAGGCACATCTAAACCATTTGGATATACCCATGATGCAGTGGCTGGCAAGATCCCTAGACAAGAATCCTATAGAGCATGTCTTGGACTTTCTTAAAAGATGTGTTAAACTCAGAATACCACCGGTGGTGTTGAGAAACGCGTTACTAGAGGAATGGCAGACATTGCCCCAAAATACCCTTCATAACATTAACTGCAGCATGCTCAGATGAATGGAAACCATCATCAGAGCAAGAGGGGGAAATACCCATCATTAATTAATTCATTTGGTTAGTGATAAGCTACCCTAATTTTTAATCTGGCCACAATTTCTAATTTTTGTTCAAAACTGAAAAATTGAAATTTCGTTTCGATGATTTTTTATTAAATAAAAACGACTAAATATTTAAAAAATCTATGTTATTTTATTTTATTTTAATTATCTCTTTATTTTGTATAATAAATATTTCATAGATCGGTAGTAATTTTCCTTATTTTCATTCTTTTTTTTGCGTTCCGCTAAATCTGCCGGTGTGTGTACATACATATTATACATAGTAACACCCAGACCCGTCACAGAAATTAAAATTCACCATTTCAATTTCTGCTCGGCCGGGAATCGAACCCGGGACCTCTCGGCATAGTAGTCCGTTCTGAACAACTACACCAAACGGCCGACCAAAATTATATTATTTTATGGCGCAAATACACTGCGGATAATTTACCGAGACGAAGCGCTAGATCGCACACCGAAGTATAGGCGACGCACGGACGGGGGAAGTAGAAAGTAACCGAGATGGTGTTCACACTATTACGTTTCCCTCATAGTGTACTTGTGCCATTAGACTTTTTTTTCTGTGCCTTTTCCCATTTCATTTGGAGTTGGCTCTCTTCATTCTAAGGTGTTAGCTGTCTAGGGTTGTCTGGTCGTAGATTATATCATAGTGAAACTAAAACAGTATAGACGATAGCACATCAAGCGGTTTTGTATCGTATCTCGTGGAAATAAGGTCTATTGCCCTTAAAATGTGTGGCCGCATGTAACCTTGTTTGAGTGAAATTCAGACTTATTATTTTTTTTTATTATTATTTTTATTATTGATTGAGATATTGTAATTATTTACGTGCGCTTTATGTATAAGAAATATTTACATAATAAGTAAAAGACGCAATCTAGCGGAACTTTTTAAAGTTATTTTTCAACCGTCCGAACTGGCCACCATACAAAGTGTCATGAAAGCGTAAACTATTTTAATATCGCTGGCGATTTTTCATATTTAGTCCCAAGTATTTAGCAAAAAAACATCTGTCATTTCACTTATTATCCCTATTTAGTTCTGTGAACTTTATCTTTGGATTTAGTATAGCCTCGGTTAATTTGAGTAAAATGCATTTTCTTGTTGAATCATAGTCAAATCAAATTGCGTTAAGTTACGTCCATACTATAGCACCGTATTTAACAGAACAGAATTCGGCTTTTAAATGAGTCCAATTGATCAGCCTCTATTTCGAACATAATGGCTGTGCCGTGTTAGCACGTGTTCTTGACTTTAAAAACTTCATTTGTTTTAAGAATTAATGTCAGTGTCACCCGTTACGCCCTCAATTTCATTTCCTTGTCAATCGTGTAAGCTTGCATTTGCATTGTCACCTTGTTTTGTGCGGACCGTGACACTTGTGACCGCAGGTTCTCGCCGCAAATAGACTATTGAACCAGAGCGGGGACAAAACTACTGTTTGGTTAACTGGATATGATCTAATCTTTCATAAGGTGTTAGAAAATTACTATTTGCAATTCTATTTTGGGGTGCTAAGGACTAAAAAATAAAAATGAACGCAATAAATTGTTTAAAATTTTATTTTACATTTCTTTGTTTAATAAAATACAAAATCACAATGATTAATTTGTTATGAATAACAATATAGTAACACAAGTTACTGTATTCATTACAACAATGCTCACAATCATTTCACATACATATATCACATCACATCATCCCTGAGAGTTCATCGAGAATACTGACAAATAAATTAACTATAATTATGCATGCACCACAGTCTCTTAAAAAATAATTTAATAAATAATTCATCGATCGCAGAGCGTCCATTTTTGTATATCAACAAACTCGCTAACAACTAAATTAGAAAAGTTGCGTTTTTAAATATTATGGCAATGCGGGCGACCCGCTAGTCTTTCGTAATTCATTACACTACTTAGGACACTTAGAACATCACATTTGCGCTTTATTTACACGGGGCGTCGCGTGCGCGGCGTCGACAGTTCAGACTAGAGCTTTGGTTTCACCGGCCGTAGCCGGGCGGCCGCTGGCGCTCGCGCGCCGCCTGGGCCTGCGCCGCCTGCGGCGTCACGAAGTACACGTGCGCGCCCTCGCCCGGCAGCCGGTACGATACGAACGAGCCCGGCCGGCCCTCGCCCGCCGCGTTCGCGCTCCCGATCCACTCCGCGTCCGGGTTCACCGGCGGCAGAGGCCGCTTGTAATTCACCAGCGTGTCACCCGCCAGCGACGGCCCGTTCAAATCGTACTGCTCTCCCGCAAACTGCGGCCGCTGCGCCTGCTTCCTGTACTGCGCCGGCCGGCCCGGGTTCGGGATCGGGATGAACTCGCTGTCCGGGTTGATCGGCGGCCGCGGCAGCCGGTCGTTCACCGCCGTGTCGTGAAGCAGCGACGGCGGGTTCGGCCGCTCCAGCTGCCTCTGGTTCTGATGCTGGATCGGAACCGGAACGGGCTCGCTGTCGGGGTTGATAGGCGGTCGCGGCAGGCGGTCGTTGACCAGGGTGTCTCTGTCCAGCGACGGAGGGTTCTCCTGCCTCCTCGCGTCTTCGATGATCTCGTATGCGTACTGCAGATTGATGTTGTTGTCGATGGGAGTCTTCACTGTTTCCAGGGGCGCCGTAACGGCCAAACCGTTTACGTCGTGTGTGTTGTCCTCTATCTTCTTACCGAATATGTCGAATGAGTTCTTTGTGATGTCGTCGAGGTACCTTTCGTCTTGTTTAGTGTAGTACCCGTGGCTGATTGGGTTCGGGGTCGTGTTCGGGTACCTGTTCACTTGATGCACCGCGGGCTTCTCGCTTTGGATGGGTATGAGATTCCTGTTTCCTTTCGGCCGGACACCTTTGCTAATCGAAGCGTCGTCGTAGTCCTCGTCGCGTATTTTCTTCGGGTAGAATCTAGTCGATGTGGGTGTTTCGGTCGTGACCTGCACGTTTTCGATCAAGTACTGCTGATAACCAGGCTGAATCGAAGGGGTTATTGCGTTGAAATCGTTCCCCAGATTGAATGGCTTGCTGTAGCTCACCATTGGCCGGAAAGGTTCCGGATCCAGCTTCGGTGCACGGAATGATATTTGCTCAGGCCTAGGCTTGGACTGGTAGCTGAACTGGTAGACCGGTCGCGATGTGATAGCTTTGGGCTTGTGTGCGTGCGGTCTATGCGAGTAAGAATTTGGCCTCTTTGTAGTGAACAGCTCAATCGTCTGTTGAATGTCAGCAATTTGCTGGTAGAACGTTTCTGGTCGTTGTTTCGGTTGCTGAACATAAACAGGTTGCGGTCTCGGCCTTTGGATACTAAAGTACTCCTGAGTCAAAGTGCGTGGACCTTGTTTCTGTGGCCATAAGAACAACGCATCCGCTTGATCTATTGATCCATAAGCGACGTCTACATTCGGTGCGAAACCAGACTGAGGATTTATGTTCTGCTGCTGAGAGTATTGTGGGCGGCTTGAGGGCA